AATATTTGTTTATTACCGTATCAATAGCAGGTAGGGTGTATCTTCCGTTTGTAGAGATAAATCGTGATTATCGTGATAACAACAGGAGCAAAATACAATTTTCTGATGTAAAAATATTTTAGATACGTTGAAATATATTTTATCAGTTAAAAACTGAAATTAACTAAAATATTTTTGGAGTTACAGGTGTAAAACTAGGATAATTAAATAAATTTAATATTTTTTCATAAATCGTGATTATCGTGATAATAGCAGGAGCAAAATACAATTTTCTGATGAAAAATATATTAGACACATAAAAATATGTTTTATTGGTTAAAAACTTCAATTAACTATTATATTTTTGGAGTTACAGGAGTAAAACTATGTTAATTAAATAAATTTAATATTTTTTTATAAATCGTGATTATCGTGATAAGAATAGGAGCTAAATACAATTTTCTAATGAAAAATATTTCAGATATATTGAAAATATGTTTAATCAGTAAAAAACTTAAATTAACTAAAATATTTTTGAAGTTTCAGGCGTTAAACTATGTTAATTAAATACTTTTAATATTTTTTCACTTGTTTTATACATTTTATGATCATAAAGTACTCGTAATGACATTGTCCTAGAACAAGTTTTTGTGTGTTTTACATTCATTTAAATGCTCAATATTTTTTGTTGGATGAGTATAGTTGCTGAACTTGTTTCGTAATCGTCCACACTATCAACTTGTGTTTTTAATTTAAACATTTTACGAGTAGCTGAGTACAGTTGGTTCGTTCGTTTACTCGCTTCTTTATTTGCTCATTCAATTGCTCGCGCGTCGTTCGCTCGCTCGCTTGCTTGTTCATTCATTTGTTTGTCCGTTTACTCATTCATTCAACCAATCGTTGATTCGTTCAACTTTTTCGTTTCTCTCCGCATTGTTCGTGTAAATTAAACGTACTTCTAAACATTCACGAATGTTTTGAAACTATGCAGCTATCTCAAAGTGTTTTTTTTTTGTTTAGGAATATTTTTCGTGTAGCTCATTACGTCATCAGGGTATTGTCACAATTGCGTAAATATAGAACCTAATTAAAAGTTGAAATGAATTGAATCACATTAAAAATTGTAGTATTGGAACACATTGTATGATGTAATGTAAGATTGAATTTAAGTTATGATGCAAACGAAATCATTCCGATTTTCTTTGATTGCGTTCTACAATGGGTTGTGACTAATATCTATTTTTGAAATTTGACCTGTGACCTGTGATATCTAAAGCTAAAGGTTAACCCTCAGCGCAAACAGCGGCAATGAGTCAATCTGGACGAATAGGAAATGAGGAAATACGAAAAGATTATTAGGACATATACTATAACCTAGTTTAAGCTAGGCAACCGAAATTACACGCATCTGGTTATGAATGAAATTAAAAGTTTTAAAAAATGAATGGAGTGTTTAGTGTCTTAATGGTTAGTTTCGTCATTCGCATGATGAAAATCCCACGCGTGTGAATTTATACAAATCGTTGCAATCATGCAATGACTTATGATGCTAACTTACTTAAATATTTACTTTTACTTTAAGTCAAACACATAAAGTAAATTTAAGTAAACTTGTAGATCAGTTGAATACAGAATTAATGTTTTTTTTTACTGATAAATTGCTTGATAATTCATTTGGCGCCATGATAATTCATGTAGTAAAAGTAATTTTTATTGTATTACTTTATATTGGCACTTATGACGCACGTTATCAATCAAAGCAATAACTGTGCGATAAGCGCGCGAATTCTAGAATAACTCACCGATGACTCATCGATTCTACAACTTGGTTTTTGTAGTTGTACATTCATGATCTGATCAATTGCGCAATAAATTAAACTCGTACGATCGCCATCGACCTTACTTAACCCTTTTTTTAAACAATTATTAACCAATTAAAAGTGAAATAATCTGATGTAGGCGCACGGAAATGCACGATGGCGGAATGTCGTCGGACGGAGTCTATGCGGCGTGCTTCCTGTTTGGGAGAATATATAAAAATACATAAAGAAGCAAACGAAAGCGATGCGCGATGCACTTGCGTCTGTATAACGACTTCCTGCAACTTTGGTGTGACCGTGAGTATGCGAGCGCATCCTTGCATTCATAAACGCCGCCGCAAACCGCCTCCGAGTGCGATCCGCTCGCCAGATAAACTAATATAATACATCCCGTGTGTAACTGATTTGATCTAAGCACAACTTTTACTAAAAATATACCGTAGGTAGATGTGTATTCGATGAGGAAAAGCGAAATGAATGAAAATGAAAGAAATACACGCGTGGATATACAGTGTGTTTTGTATACATACATGCAATAATGTTAAATATTTACATTTGCTTGGGTGAGAAGGTACTTGGGAGAGGAAGCTACGCGAACGCGATGAATGTACAATGAATGAATGAGCGCGGCATAAAAATGAAATTAATTAGCCGACCATTATTGTGCTATTATTTCTGGCTACGACACTCTATACCTACTTGGTGAATGGGTTATTTATTGTGATGCGTAATTAAGCGTAAATGGACGTCCTGTGTGCGTGTCAATAAATTTATTCAGTTTTTTTTTTGTATTTATTGCTGGATTTATTCGATCATTTCCGTGTCGATTCTCCATGCGAGTGTTTATGCATTTGAGTGTCGTTTGCAGTTGTGACATTACGTGATAAAGGTTAATTAATTAATTAATTGCAATTGTGGCAATTAGAGTGAAGATGACGCCGAGCACTGACTTCACTGAGTTTGATCTTGGGAGTTTATTACTGATCTAATTTTCTGCGCCTACAACAATTCATGTTTGATAATAATTAAAGTGTGGTAATTAATTCACAAAAGCTTGCGGCGCATGCGCAATATTTGATATTTTTTGCTGTTTATTGCAAATGAAGTTTATTTGGTATTCAAATTTGAAATAATTTGATTAGGGTACAAGTTATCAATATTTTTTGTATAAATTTGTTTAAAATTAAACAAAACATAAAAAATAACTTTGTAATTCACACAATCATTCTTTTTTGCAAATGGAAAAACGGATTATCCTGTTTTCCGATACTAATCTCCCTTGTTTATTGCTGTTGAGTCTTAAATTTTCTTTTTTGAAAAAGTGAGTTATTTATCACTGTAAAAACAAGTAAACCTTCATTAATCATGAAATTGCGGAAACAAATTGCATATTAAATCTACCTACTACATATTTCCAAAAATACCGTTGCGTTATTTATATTCAGAATTTTCTTATCATTTTATGAAATTCTATTGAGAATCAAACTAATTACTATTTAATCCGTTGAATGCTACCGCAAAAAATGATAACGATAATGATTTCTGAATTGAAAAGACTCGATTCGTACCGTGAACATAAATAACTCAATAACTGAACATCCTCAAAGGTCTGTGAGGATGCCGTGCGCAACCAGATAATTCTGAAGAGATTGTGCAGATGCTGCGGATTGCGTGCGAGATTTGAAGATAAATTTATAATTTATAAATCATCTCACAGTTCGCAATTCAGCAGCGCGCGCGCTTTTCATAATTCAGGAATTTCTGCTCTTGACGCGTTGGCGTACCCGGCGCCTCCACCCTAGGGCGCACCGAAAATAAACTCGAGCGCATATTCGCCTGGCGTTGAGTGGAACCTTGAAACAACACATTAAAAGCAAAAATTTTACAAGGGCCCCGGCAGCAATTTTGCAAATTTATAAATAACACAGCAAACACACGCACCCACACATACGCTAAACAAAAATATTATTAATTAGCTAAAAGTTAAACACAAAACAAGCACGAAAAAAACGAAACACAAAATTATTTATGTTATTCGGGTTATAAATAGATTTATAACGTAGGCAACCGAATTTACATGATTTCCGATGAAGTAAATTGAATTTTTAAAAATATAATATTAAAAAATAAATTGAACAATCTGTTGCATGGGGAAAAATCGGGTGTCAAGCGGGTTGCTGCTGGTGTTGGGGTGGGGGTAGTTGGCACGATTCACAATGAAGTCGCACGCAACACGTGAATGTGCGGTGGGTTGCCTAGCAACCAGCTGCATCCAGGCCGACACGGTGCGACCTATAGCAACACACAAAGATGAGAGATGGTGAAAGTAGGTCTGATTCATACTATCGCACCCTCTTTATCCAACTCCTACGCTGTCCTCCTTCAACCCATACCGAATCGAGCAATCACTGATGATTCCTGAGTTGAGAAGGACTTTGTAGGGCATTGTAGAGGCTTCAACAACGATTGAGGACGTTGTCGATCAGAGTGGGGGTTAGAATACAGGAAGGGATGAAGCATTCGCGTTTATGTATTTGTCCTTTTTCATTCCATTCTAATTCTATAGTTAAATTGTTATTTCTATTCGTGTACAGTCTGTTTGTTTTAGTTTTGCGAACAAAAAATAGTTTAATTAATTTCAGTTTCGGTATTTATTTTGTGTTCAATATTTGCTCTCGCTTGAAACGGGCGATGAAAATCGAGTGGGGGATGTGGGGCGGCACGGTATTCCGGATGCAGGGAGAAAGTGCACCGCCACCGGGTGCAATGAGCAACATCCAGGCCATGCACGCGGCGTTTGCTCACACCTACGCTGACACACAGCCCACCCGACCACCCTCACTCATATACTAACATTTCGCGTAGGTCGGAAACATAACACCTACGCCACACTAGCAGGCGTTCTAACAGAAGTAATCGGACAACGGCTTCCCACCATAGCTACCCATTTTATACTCGTTATGCATTCGCAATGCAAAGTATGTAAATGTTAAAGGGAATTTAATTTAATATTGTTTTTTTCGTTGTTTATTTTTTCGAGAGAAAAAAAAAGTTAATTAGAGTTTATACAATATGCAATTTGCTGGGTTTGAATTAAAAATGAGGGCACGCACGTGTATATAACCTAGAATAAAAGAAAATGTATAATTGGTTGCATAACTGTAGTGTCATATATTGAATTGTGTTTTTTGTTTGTTTCAGATGGTTTTAGCCGCTTTCGGGCAACGTTTCCGGAGTGGTGCGATACGAGTCTTGAGGTGGAGAGTGGTGGCGGCGGAGGCGGCGATCAGCAGCCGGGTGGCATCGTCGTGGAACCACTGCCGCTGATGGGACTTCGATCGCTGCGCATCTCGGCGTGCTCTTTGTCGCGCGGCGGGCTCTCTTCTACGGCGAACAGCTCCACTGAGAGCTCAGACACGGACGATCGATGCGACAGTTCGTTAGGTAAATTAAATAATAGTTATTTGCATTTTTAGCGCGGCAGGGATAAAACTGGTTTGATTTATTGTTTTATCGGATCGACTTTGAATATTCAGGGTGAAAATCAATATGCGCATACGCAGAATGCGTTTATATTAAATTTAACAGAAATTTTACATAAAAAATAATTTTAGGGGAATATCTTTAATATAAAAATAAATCGCAAAGTTTGTTGGTAAGCGTATAACTCAACAACGCCCAGACCAATTTGGCCATTTTTTTTTATGTTCGTTAAAGACCGAGGATGGTTTTTACGGCGAGAAACATTTAAATAATTGCCAGGAAGTTGGCATTGAGATTCAATCATAGTTATAGTTAAATAGTTGAATCCGAGATGGCGCGCTGAAGTGCATTATTAGCAATTCTTTGTATAATTAATTTCTTTAAAATAAAATTGCGAATCATATTGATAGAATTGACACACACTATATCTAAAACAAGAGAATAAAAACGAATTACATTTTTATTAAACACTTCAGGGATGAAGTCGCAGGCAATAGCAAGTTTCTGATAAAAATGCGTCTAAAAAGTGTCCTCATTCTATTTTTACTCTTTTTTTCTCATTTTGTGATCCTAGCATCCCAAATTGAGTCGGTGAAAAGGATACGTTTATTATTTAATGAGGGATGTTTTTCCCTTCTCAAATATCTTGATGGGGATACTTATTCCACCGTAAATTATTAATTCTAATTCTATTATAAAACATTTGCATACAATTAAGCACTCAAGCCATCATAATAGAACTTTTTATCACATTTTCTAAACATGCGTCTTTGTTCTTACATATTCGTATACACATATATTTACACCATCATGAGTCAATTTTCATTCTGGTCTATTCCGGTACCAAAGACCAATGATGACGAATCATCGTGTAAATTTACGATTCGGTCGGGTTCCTGGTGTTGTGTGTCGCATGTTGAGTTAGGTCATTTCATCTCGTTTCATTCCATTTCATTTCCCAGTTTATATGTTTACGTGTGCCTCTTGTTTCTATGTGTGGTTTGAACACGGCCGGCGTTAATAGTGTGAGTTTAGCTGCGCGCGGTGTAGTCATGTAAAATGAACGCTGGGTCTTCTATTTTTGGTCGCTTTAATGCACCCCAGAAATAATTAAACACTTCTAATTATTCAGGTCGGTGCGGTGCGCGGCGTGTTTTGCGAACGCGTCTCGAAATGTTTTCGTAATGTTTCGAACTGCGACTGACTCACATTACCTACATAACACACAAATCATTTGCGCATATATTCGTGCTGGTACATGGACGAGTGTTAAAAGAATGTATAAACAAGCTCAGTATTAACATCCGTCGTATTGCTGCGAATTGTACTGTGATGTTAAAATAAAATAAGTGTGTTTCGACATGGTGTAAATTGAGTTTTTAGCATTTTAGTAGATATTTTTCGCGTGTTTGGTGAATAAAGTGTTGTTTCTTTGATTTTCATACAATGTTTTATTTTTAGGCATGGAGGACGACAAAGAGTTTCCAGTCCAGATCCTGCCGCACCTGTATTTGGGCAACGCTGCTAATAGCGAGGATAGTCAGGCTCTCGCACGGCATAACATCGAGGTATTGTTACAGTTTAATGCGATTTTAATTACTTCTATGCTTTAAATCAACAATGAAACTTATTTTGAACATTTTCTTTGTTTTCAGTATGTGTTGAACGTAACGCCCGACCTGCCCAACGTCTTCCAGGATGTGGGCAACATCAAATACATGCAGATACCCATCGCCGACGATTGGTCTAATCTCGCCAGCTATTTTCCCAAAGCCTTTTCGTTCATCGGTAAGTTCTCAATTGATTTTATAACCGAACCTAAGCAAACCCGGCACTAAAATGAATTAAATCCTGGTTACGTTTTTTATTTACTCGGAATTTGTATAAGTTTTAGTAGAGTGTGAGTGGAGTGTGCTTTGAAGTGAAATTTGTTGAATGAACGAATTCAATGACGCTGGCGATGATTCATGCTGCACGGCGGTGGCGGCGGCAGCAAAGCGTCACCCCGTCGCCACCGCCTACGCCCACGCGACCATTCGCAGACAGCGTGATCGATCAATCAACATCTTTACCACCACAAAAAACGCTGCATGCGAAAAAATACATCACGTATTCCAGTGAAAATAACAAATATGTATGAATTTAGCATTACTCATACCTATTTGTGAACTTGGTTGCATACGTTATAAAATAATTTATTAGTTTTGATTTGTTTATTATAGCATAATGTTTGTCTACGGTATGCTATGCGGGAATGTAGAAGAGGCCCACGCGTGCGCTATGTGCTTCGGTCCTTTTGTCATTCGGTCATTTAGTCATTACATTTTCGCACGATTTGTAGTACGAAGGTTTCGGAGCGCGCGTGGGCGACGCGGGCGTGCGAACGCCATTTATAAACCGAAATGTGTTTTCCGACAGCGTGTCGTCGGCCCACGCCGATGGCGCGAGGCGCGTGGGTGACCGCCATTTTCTTCTTTCGCCACCCGCCCGCTCGTTACGCTCGCACGGGCGCGATAATGCATTTGCACAGGGCCATACGTAAATTTAAACATGGTTAAATCATTAAATTAACGCCCCAAAGGGGAATTAATCTCAATAAATGCCCGGGGAAATTTTGTTGTTTTTGTTGATTCATTGATGAATTTGCGTGGGAATCGGTGAATAGTTATCGAATTATTTAGTAATAGGCAACCCACTACACAAATTGATCAAATTGTCAGTAGCTCTAGTGGTTGTTATTAATGAAAGCAGCGCAAACGTCGACTTCATTTAGCATTTGAGATGAATTACGCTTTCTGTTCGGGGGGTTGCTACTATGTAAGTACAAGTATAATAGCGCTCTGGCATTGAGTCGCTGCGCCTGCTGGCTGCCGCCACACGCCGACGCGAAAATCGATATCGTCGAAACTGATGCCCCGGCCCACCCCAAGCTCGGAGAGGAAATTCAGGTTGCGTGGGCGTCGGGTCCTGGCTCTGTTCGTTCATGGAAAGCGAGAGCGCGGGGGCGGCGGTGATGGTGCACGCCCACTGGCGAACGAACCCCACCTCGCGCGCGACACACACCACCACCGCCGCCGCCCCCCGCATCCCGCGCCGCCGTTTTCATTCACCAGACATGAATGACTTGCGCTATCTAGGTCAACACGAGTTTCATTCACGGACCCTCGCCCGGCTGGCTGGTGCTCGACAACGTTGAGCTCCATTCCAGCCACCCCCGCATGATACGCTGTGCGTGTGTTTGGCCACGCGCTTTTATATGACTGTATGGGTTGCTAGCTGCAACTATAGTGCGGGGGTGGATGTGGATGGGGCTTGTTTTTGCAATCGGCTGAGACATTCATAATTTTCTCGGCTTACACAACCAACAGCCTGGAGTTTTTTGTGTGTTTGCGCACGCGCGCGTGTGTGTGTATGTATTGTTAGCTGGGAAAACAAAAACGAATCGCGATCGTAAAACTTCCATCATCGTAAAAATGCCATTATTAAATTTCCAACACGCTTTCGACAGTCTGAACGAAAGCAAGGTGGGTCGTAAAAGGCAAAGCGTACCGAGTTTGTCTCCACTTTAGCGCGCTTATCTTTCGCTTGTCAACCTATGTTTAATTTAATTTAATTAAACAAAAACGAAGCGATAAAACTCAAACAAACACTGCACTATAATTTAGTGCTATATAATTCCGTTACCAATTATTATATATTAGTTATTTATACTAATTTAAAATAAATTGAAATTAACAAAGTTTTATTACTAAGAAATGCTTGCTTCAAGTTTGATTTTGATGAATCACACGATAAACTTGTACATGTGACGCTCGCACGACGGTACTCGTCAATCATTTGATGTCAATTTATTTTACGTTCCAAACCACACTCTGCTTAATACGTGCTTTAATATTTGATTTGATTGATTCGAGCGCTATCACAGATGGAAATTGTTCTCGGAAGCATATTTTCGAAAATGATCAGTCACCATCACCATGATGAATCATGCGTACGAGTATGAAGTTATTATTACCTACTTATGATTTTTTTTTTGCTTATTTGCAGATGAAGCAAGAAACAATCAGAAAGGCGTTTTGGTGCATTGCCTCGCCGGGATAAGTCGCTCGGTGACCATCACCGTCGCCTACCTGATGTACAAATGCTCGCTGAACCTGAACGACGCTTTCAACGTGGTCCGGGCGTGCAAGTCAAACATCGCGCCCAACTTCCATTTCCTGCGGCAGTTGCACAATTTCGAGAAGGAGCTGAAGCTGGATGTGTCCTCACAGTCGCCGGCGCCGTTGATGGAGCAGATTGAGGCGATGCGCGCCGAGCAGGCGCTGCTCAAGCGAATGGTACCTCCTGGAGGTGGTGGTGGACGGCCGGGTGCGCGTCGCAAGTGCCCCAACTGTGGGCTGCGCGATGCTTGCTGCAAATGCGGACAGCATCCGGACTTCCTCAGCCCGCTGGCGCAGATCGGCGTTAGTCCCGATTCGGGTATTGAGTTTGACCGTTGGGCGTCCAGCAGTACCACCCCGGCGGAATGAGACAACCCGGGGAGGTCGCAGTGGCATTTTTAAGCGCGAGCGCCGAGCCCTGTTGTCTCCCCAACATCGTCAATCCACTCTCCCACCCACCCCCCAACCTATCATATTCTTCGCTTTCATTTGTATGACATTTTGTATTTATTCAGTTACCAACATTCGAAGTTTTTACGGTGAACACTTCCAACTTTTGTCCAACTTTATGTGTGTATAGGCAACCAAATCACACACCCGCTGATTTAGCTATACTTATCTTAAATCGTAATTTTAGTTTGGTACGTCGTAATGTTTGTTATGTCGTTGTGTTCAATATTAAGTTGTATTATTTTTTTGTTTTTGGGAAACTTGCAATGAAATCGATTGGTACACCTTGTACAGCACATGTACATCGTAAGCATACATTTTACATGCCAGTATTATTTCATCTAGATTGTATCTTTTTTAAAATTAACTATAATTACTAATTGATGTGTAAAGAAATTGTTAATTTGTCATAGTCTATGCTTAACGCAAACGCAAATGATACAAGGAGTAATGTAACAATCAATTTTTACTTTTTCACACACCGAATGCTGATAGTTTGGTAGCTATATCTGACATAACCTAAACTAACTTCCCAGATACAGGTAGACTCAACCATCTGAACGAGCGTGTTAGCTAGCGAATGACAGGAGTAGTCGAAACGACCGCAAAAAGCCTTAAACAACCAATGAAAACCTTGAATTTATAGCTATGTTCAACTTAATATTGCATCATTGTTTCTTGTATCCACACGTAAACGAGTTGTGACCGAGTGCGATCTCCATTCAAATCTTGTAAACGGCCGTCATTTTGTGTATAACCTATACCTATACGCCCGCACTCCGGATAAAACGATGCAACAACGTCTTACCTAAGTCGTATCGCACACAATTTGTAACTTTAGATACTGCATACATGTGTTGTGAGTTCTCTTAAGAATTCTTAGGACGAACGAAATGCTATCTATACGAAAGATCACTGTTGAATGTTGAACATGAACACGACAAGCTGCAAACATAGGTTATTTTGTCACCACGTAGAATAGCAATAACGTTTTAGAGCTGTCAAAACGTCGAAAACGATCATAAACACAAAGTCATTATTGTTTACGATAGTAGAAATTCTAGTATTATTAGTATTCGATGAAATCAACATTAGACTTAGATGAGATTTTCGTTTTTGATGTTTTTAAAAGTAGACACTTTCATTCTGTATCGATTGTGCGAGAATAATGAGTTGTGCAAGACTCATATCAAGAGAAGATTTCAGAGATAAAGGAGTATATAAAAGCGTAAAAACTAAAATGAAACTATGAGAAAATATAATTACGATATAGATGATAACAAAGGATATTTTGTAAAGACTGTTTTATAGATGGGATATATGTGTGTAACATTCACCTGACTTAAGTATATTATCACTTATCACGCCGAAGGGTGTGAACATAACATAGGCAAGCGATATATTGATATTGATAAACGATTAAATTAATGAATATGATATAGAAGATGATGTAAAAACGATACATACACGATGATTAATGTTTGTTAAATTTAGGCATTTGAAGAGTAACTCAATCGCCATCGTGAGAGGATATTTTATTGAAATTATTGCATTTATTACGAAGTTATAGACGACATTATTGATATGAACGCTGAGATAATATTATCAAATGTTACAATCATGTGAAAATGATTTCTATTTAAGTTGTTCGAGTCAAGTGCGCGTACTTTTGACGGGGCAGATGAGGCATCGAACGAATCGATGCGAGTTATCGAATATATTATTCTTCCATTCTACATTGTACATGTTTAGCTAAGTGAACTAACAGTTACGTTAAAATTAGTTCTTTTTATTTGCCATAGATTTGATGTTGTATTTTACGAAGAGGCACGGACGAGATGAAGAAATAATGAAATATATATATATATATAAAGAATAAGTAATACTTGTATATTTTTTGTATTAATCGATGTAATTTGTGTTTGTATTTATTTCGTGCCATTTTCTATTGATGTCAAAATTGAATATTTCTTCAATATGTATTAATTACAGTTTCAATGTTTTGATTCTCTGTTTTTGTTTCTGATAAAATATAGGCAACTTTGTTAACATTTCCTAGAAAATAATCGTCAGAGCACGAAAATAAAATGAGAAATTGTAATGATTTTTGACGATGTGCGGAATAACTGAATAAGGAGAGAAACTAACATATACTATAATGAATGTTATTCATAATTGTTATGAACTTTTTGCACAAAAGACATATACTCTATATGAATTTAGTACATACACAATATTGATAAATACGCTAACGAAAAAAAGATCCGCTGGAAAACAATAACAACACAAAAAACTAGACATGTTGTAGTTGAGGCAAGAAATTTACTATAACAGTGTGAATGTCAACCGCAAAACGCAGTCAACTAATTTAACAAACAAAGAAATAATTTAAATTCTGTTAAATCATCAGTAATATTAATTTTCAAATTGTAGTTTGACCGCTGTGAGTAAATTAAAGTCAACACGGCGTGTTTTGTTTATAACCTAAAACAAAACAGTATTTTGTGTTTATCTTTGATTTGTTTCTTGTCGTTACCGGCTATTTCTATAAATTAATTGTGCGGTACTAATGAATACATAACGTGATGAGGCAAAAACTAAAGGTAATAACTAATATCTTAATTATAACCAGTTTAAAAACATAAATGAATCACTAGTATGCTTCCAAACATCAGAAGCAAAATATTGAATATGTAAACATGAATTTTTGGTGTACACACATGCGGCGAGGCAGGAAGTTGTCGCATAATCATTAAACTGAAAACAAGGATTCTTTGTAACTCTTAAAGAAAAGCAAACTTTTATTAAGCTGTTATTGATGTTATTTTATATATGTCAATTTAAAGTATAAAATACATATTCTATCTTAATTCTTTTCATATTGTTGTTTATGATTTATTGAATAATGAATCAATTTAACAAACAAACAAATACTCAAAACAAAAAAGTAATTCATACAGAGAAACTTAACTCTATTCTAGTCTGGATGCTTGAAACATTTGCACCAAGTGAGAATGTTTTTATAATTCTATTGCCAACGTTTTGATTTCAGCCTTTAGCTCATCATATACATCCTTATATTCAGCATGCTCTCTGATGAGAACTGTGAGGCATCCGCGTTTGACACCCATTGCAGCACCGAGGTCGTGTCGCGCTGGGACAAAACAATAGGGAATATCTTTGTCTTCACAAACAGCTGGAAGGTGAGCGACGATATCGACGGGTGTGACATCACCAGCAAACAGGACGATGCCGGTTTCTCCTTTTCTCAGGCGCATTTGAACGTCTTTGAGGCCATTTCTCAGGTAGGTTTTATGTTTGCATGCTGAAAATATTTAGTTAATGATTAATTAAATGTGTGTTCGATGGTAGATAAAAATTATACCTTTTTTAATAAGTTTATAACACTTTTTCGTCAATTTTTTTGGTGCCATCGGTTTGGCGATAATGCTAACATTCTCGAGTTTTTGTTCGTAAGTCAACTCATCGCTACCTTCAACCTCTAACGTTGTGTTGTTTGCGTTATTTTCTGATTCGCTATCTTTCTTAGTTTTGCCCATTTTGATTAGGTTTAATATCTATTTGAAAAATAAGTTTTTTCAGACCGCTACGACGCGTTCGTAAACAAGTGAAACACGTGAAGAGATAGAGGTTACGTTGTTGATATCTGTTGTAGTCGTTTCGCCTTGAGGTTAGTACGTTTCATGGTCGCTGGGGTCGCTAGTGTCGTTGCAATTTTAACTTTATTAATTCTAGTTTTGCGTGTACATAAGTTGTTTCTTAAAAAATTATAAGAGTTAATATTGATAATTAATTGATGCATACAAGTTTAGATATTGCTTTGCTTTATAGTACATATTTGGGCGATATTAAGGACTTTAACATACAAGCTACAACTACTTTTGAGCTATGCAACCAGATAGACAGTTGTAACATGTCTAAACAAGTTCGAAATTTTTGAATCTCTAACCGAACCTAGAAATGTTCCATTCATACTTTCTCGCGCTAGTGTGGTGCTGTTTGTTTCCTTGATAAGTTCTTGATCAACATGGATGGAATAACATGCGTTACTTGTGGCGGTGCGGAGTTCTTCTTGTCTGCCGGTTTTTACTTTTGCTCGGAGTGCCAAACACAAGCAGCTGGTTTGCAAGAACAAGATTTCGAACAACCAGACGAAACGATTGTCGTGTCTACAGCCAAGAAAATTAAATCTTCCAGTTCGGACAAGACTCCCAAAGCTGATCAAATCACCAGCTGGGAGTGCTACAATTACATTCTCTTAGGATTGGTGAACGAATTGATCGAATTAGGTGCACACAAGAATCTCAAACCAATTGTGCAAACTATTTGGTTCACATATTTGAAAAAAATTGAAGTGATACACGTGAATGTGAATCAACCGCCCAATCTGCCTGCATTTAACCACAAGCATGATGCGAAAATCATTTTCGGACGCTGCCGTAAGAAGAAAACATATAAGAGGAAAAGAACGCTCAGCTGTTCATCAGCTGGAAGTGTTTCCAATTCAGAATCTACTGTATCCAGGAGGGAACAGAATAGATTGAAGGTATGTTTTTTACATTTTTATATTATTTTTAAATTATTTTGATATTTGTATTAACAGCTTATCCTACTAATTATAATTATACAATCATAATTGTATTGGGTCAATCAATAAAAATCAATTGAATTATAAATTTAAATATAGAATAGAATAATCTAATAAACTTTTGTTTTTCTTTTTAAGCGTTTGATGGCAAAAGCAATCTATGATAGCCAACAGAGCCAGCACTCGACTCAGAATTCCGAATCATCACTTTTAAATCACTCTCTTGGAAGTCTAAAAAGCAACACGTCTGATTCTCAAAAAGAAAACTTTCTCAACTTCAGTAGTTACGCTAAATCCGAGTTACAAAACCACATGACCAAGACGCATCTCCAGGAACACATCGAAGACGTTGATGTGGCGTTAAATTGCCACAATTTATCGTACCGAAACATTACTTGTTCCTACAAGAAGACTCCAACTGTCATGACACAGACGAAATTGTATGCCATTTTGTACTTGGCACTGCTTATCAACAAAGACGAAATTCATCTTGGCGACATGATACGATTCATGAATGAAGGTAGCCTCAGTTATAACTATTATCAACACTTTTTTCCTGAAGACATCGACTCACAAACCAGTTTTCTCAACTCGTTTAAAATTAGTAGAGTCTACAAACACGATACTTACCGTGCGGAAAGTGGCAAATTGGCGGCTTTTCTAGATTTGAACGACGACATTCCCATACCTAACATGGTGAATTTAATTAAGAGATATTGCAAGGAAATGAACTTGCCGAATGAGATATGTAGTGCTTGTTTAAATTTTCTTGCTTTCACACAGCCCAATATGAAAATTATAAATAATATCATTCCGAATTACGAAGGTAAGGCAATGTGTGTGATTATCTTCGTATTGAAACTTTTATTTGGCTTGGATGATGTCACTGAGTTGCATTTATCTTCATTTGCTGATAAAATCAACGAGGGCGAAGTACCACAAGATAACAAGCATGCTGATCGTGCTGAAATGTTTAGTTTTATGGATTGGTTGAAGACGATTTTATATCGACGACATGTACTATCAAAGCATCACTTTCCTACTGGGTTTGTTGACAAGGTCTTCTCAACACAAGTTTACATAGATTTTATTAATGCGTATTACCATAAGTATGACATACAAAGACAAGAAGATCACGATTACGATAACGTCGAAAAAGTAGTCGGTAAAGATGTGGATTTAAAACGCCAAACCTTGATTTTTACTCCATCTCTGACCCCGCTTTATGATAATCTCAAAGTGTTGTTAAATAGTGGTGAATTGAATAATTATCAGCGTGAAGTTGTACTTCGTAATTATGAGTACGCAACCATTCATCATCTGAAAGAGCCAAAGGAATATTTCACGCGTGACACGGAGATTATAAACAAAGGTGCTAATAATGATATAAAACTTTCACCGATTTTTGCTACGCAGAATATATACCTTAATGGAAGAAATACAATTAGTTGTAAAGTATCAAAAGGCAAAACGCACGTACCGAATGTGAATGCTGTTGAAGATGAACTGGACACGCAGTTGAGGTTGAACTTTTTCGATCGAATTTATGCGGATAACTTGGATGCGTCTTTGAATAGATCTTTTAATGAGTGTGGCTTGGCCGCTCAAGTATACAATAAGCATTATAGGCCTGACAGGCGTTATTGGTTGCGATTGGGCGTGAATATTTTCAACATGCGAATCGATGAGTTTGAAAAATTCTGGTGTGATTTTCCGTATCATTTTCGGTTGTTGGTAGGTGAATGCGCTAAAATTACTAGTCAGGGTGTAAAGGATTTAATGGTGGAATTTAATTACTTTGATTGTTATGTTTGTTATGAACATTTGTTTGACGAAGATGGAAAGATGAAGAAATCGAAGAGTGCAAAAAATAGTCATTTGAATGTTTCATTAATTAGGCTTGTTAAAATAGCGAAGCAACATTGGTGAGCAGCGTGAATACGAACCATATTTATTTCGTAATTATAAATTTTAAGGCATTGTGCGTTGATGTTTAATGTTACAATTGAGTTTTTCTCAAGTTTGCGATTTCAATTTTACTAATATTTAGAAAACAAAATTTAAAAAAAATATTTGTAATATTTGTAATGATCTCATAGGATTATTTCAGTCTTTTTCCTCACAACAGCATTTTGCGTTTCCGTCGTATGATATTAAGGTGGGTGACGCATAGTTTGCGATAACGTGCGCTCATTGCCGCTTAATGCTGCGCAGAGCTCAGCCAGAGCCTCGTGTGAAGTTGATCAGTTCACATCAACTGGAAATAAGTACACCGTAATGGATTTTATTAAGAAGATATTTTTGGCCTCATCTTTTGTGGACATTCGCAGTGGTCTCGTTTCGGACGGGGAAAACGGTGTGCATTGGGTTCAGAAATATAACGGACATGTGCCGGAGGATGCGGTGCGTGATGGTCGCACGCCTGATGGGGAATTTTGCTACATCGGACGTGTTTACATCGACTGGAGGACAGGGTACGTTATGGGTCAAGTAATTCCTTCGAGGAGGTGTCTGGTGGTTATAATTGATGGACAAGAACGCACATTTCCCAACTACGAGGTGATGGTGAGGAATTAGAAGATGGATTTTTGCATCCTACGTCCATTGAGTTTCTGAAAATGTACTTATGATTAAAAATTTATAGCTGTTTTTTGATGATAATTCTTTAATACATGTAACTGCATACAAATTTCTTGTTTGTTTAGACAGTACTACATTGTGCTATCTATCGTCCTTGACTGCGCTTGCTAATAGTTGCATCGGTCGTGCGCCTCGCTATGGTAAACACGTGTTTTATTTGTCTCTGAATCTTTGTTGCGATTTTTTTCATCGCGATTGAAACGCGTGATAATCGTCGGCCGTTAGTCAGATATCTTACAGTGACCGCGAATTCCTATTGGAGATATTGTTCATTTATTTAATCGCAACAAATTTACGTTTGCTTCCCGTGTGATAAGAATCTTTCTAACGAGTAATAAGTGAGCGTACAATTTACTTTCAACAATTTTTAAATTTACTTTCTCGTATGTGATTTCGATATCACACAAATGGAAATGAATTGATTCGTGTATATTTATTGTTTGTATACTCTCTGTTGTTTCCTGAAGTATCGTAGCTGTTACAGGCATTTTTCTTAAATATTAAGAAATTCGTGAAATGTGGGTTGCATATGCACAGAATTCAAATTCAACTATTTTTATGGTAGGGGGTCATCCCTTGGGAGAGCGAACTCCTTTTAAGGAGACTCCTTATATGGACTTGTAAAAATATTTCTAAGTGTCGATTCCCTCAGAGCCGCCAGGAAACGGAGTGAATATTTTTACAAGTTCTGTAAACTTTTAAACATACAATAAAAGTTGATACAACTCAACACATAGAGAACGTATTAAATACACGCGTATGATGGACTTCTGTAAGACTTAGTTTTACCACATAACCACGCGCATTTCAGCATGTACAAGGAAAATTAGATAATTCTATACGAAGAATGATGTACTGGGCGATGCTGAAAGAAAACAATTATATTAATATACAGAGTGCTACAAAAAGAAAACAACTGTGTTATAAGAGAAAATACAGGATGGAGTGCCCTTCCAAAAAACAAATTCAGTCCGTTGTTACAAAACGATACAACAAAATTCTAAAATATATTACTAACTACTGAAGGAAAAACACCTAAAAGCTATGACTGTTCAAGATTTTCATTGAATCCCAAAGAAATTAGGTATAAGGATAACAAGGTAATTGAAAAAGAAAATAAATACAAAGAATTTCAGGGAAAACACAACAAATTTCAACGCACTATAATTTATTAGTAAATTATCAAACATGGTTCTCATAACAAATTTAAAAGAAAAAGAAAAATCCAATCGCGAGGAATACACCGTGGAATACTGTGTTTGAATGACGTCGCATGGCATTTCATACCGCCTTGTGCTGCTCCGTAGGCAAATGCTTAGGCGGCTGCTCCGTCTAGTGCATTTTAATGCATTTACATAATGAATATGATGTACGGCTTGACCGTCCGTATATAATGTACCACGTTTTGGGTCCAAATGCCGTGGATAAACTGGCGTTTTATAGGTGGAAGTATTAAAACATATTTTTATGTAAGTTACAGTTTCGGTTTCGGCTGAAAAGCCAGTTTCGGTCGGACTCTACTTGTAAATTACAAGTTGTAATGTTTGTTGGGTTTGCAGTTCGGTGTATTACGATTAATTTCGACTTCTTCATTTACGGATAACACACGTGTTTACTATTTAATTATTAATTAACAATTAATTACATCGCTTCGGGCGTTTGAAAACTTGTAACAGACATGAATGTGTATTTGGGCGTGGGTATCCACTAGTGACTAGACGGATACATGAGTATTTTGTTGTTGGCGTATATTGGAATCGACTTTACTCGTCTAGTAAGTACATATTTTAAAAGGTTTAAATAATGTACGATTTGAATTCCTAAACTTTGACCATGTATGCCATTTGAAATAAAATTCAGGTAACGTAAAGTAAATCTATTTATACCTGGCATTACTGGCATGATTGGTTTTACGTAATTTATTTCCATAACATAATATAATTCCTTCAAAAACTTTACCGTATATTTAACATTATGTATTGTATATAGAGCAGTATTCGTCGTGAATACTACTAAGTACATATATTTGTTTATACTTTTTATTGCATTGAAGACTAGATTACGGTACTACGTATTATCCGGTCTATACCTGCTCGACCTTCACGATACTGGCCGTGAGGAGCGGCGAGAGGATAGTTTAGCGGACTGCTTGCAGTTTCGGGCCGATTATCAGCTGATACGGTGGCTGATCCGCGTCCTTCACTCGCGTGTCTGCAGATACATTTGTTTTTATTTCAATAGTTGTATATGTATATCATTATTTTTAATATCAATTAAAGAGTAGCCATTTCAAGGAGCGTTATAAAAGCATGGTGTGGAAAACGCCCAGTATCTCGTAAATTGTTTCACTTTTTACCGTTTTTATACCGTCATGTTAGAGCGGGAGACTTCCTTTTCCAGATGCATACCCATTCTACCTACCAACCTTCTTGGAAGTGTCCCAAAATGCCCTTCTAAAATGAACAATTTTAGGAAAATTTGAAAACATGGGATGAAAAACACTCTGTATCTAGTGAACTAATTGACTTGCTTAGAGTTTCTCCGCGCCAGAATAGAGTTAGAAAGTTCCTCTCAATATGTGTACTCTCCAACCTCTCAAATTTTCTAAAGTGCCTTAAAATTATCTTTAAAAATGAGCAATTTTAGGAAAATTTGAAAATATGGTGTGGAAAATACTCTGTATCTAATGAACTAATTGACTTTCTTAGAGTTTCTCCACGCCAGACTAGAGCTAGAGAGTTTTTGTATACGATGTATTCCCTCCATCCTTACAACTCTTCCGGAAGTGCCCTAAAATGCTCTTAAAAAATCAGCAATTTTAGGAAATTTTTAAAACATGGTATGGAAAGCACCCTGTATCTAATAAACTAATTGACTTTCTTAGAGTTTCTCCACGCCAGAATAAAGTTAGAGAGTTCCTCTACACCTACACGATGAATACTCTTTCAACCTTCCAGCCGTTTTGGAAGTTGCTAATATGCTCTTCAAAAATGAGCAATTTTAGGAAAATTTGAAAACATGGTGTGGAAAACACCTTGTAGCACGTGAACTAATTGATTTTTTTGAAGTTTCTTAACGTCATATTAAAGTTTGAGAGACCCTTTACACTATGCATACCCTTTTAACCCTATAAACCCCTTGGTGTTTAAAATCCCATTCGCATATCGCAATTTTTGTCCAATAAATTTAAATTTTTGGTCGAATAACAGGGTCGATCTTTTTTTAATAAATGAAATTTTTGTTATAATTTTTTCGGTTGAATTTTTTTGTTAAAATTTTATCGGTCGAATTTTTTAGTTAATTTTTTTCGGTCGTATTTTTTGTTAAATTTTTTTCTGTCGGATTTTTTAAATTTTTTTTTCGGTAGAGTTCTTCTGTTAAAATTTTTTCAGTCGAATTTTTTTGGTCGAATTTTTTTTGAAATTTTTTTCCGTTGAAAAACGGTCGAACTTTTTGGAAAATTTTTTTCTGTCGAATTTTTTTGTTAAATTTTTTTCGGTCGAAGAACAGGGTCGAATTTTTTGGCGTTTATGTCAAGAACAAAAAAAGGTCACAAAGGTCTACGATAAACGAATACATTTTTCTCTAAAATTGTAAATAGGGTCTAAACGTTTAATGTTACTAAAATAAACGATGTAGAATTAAATTATTTATCAGAATTCGATTAAGAATTTAATCAAAATTAATAGTTCCATGAATAGTTCTGCACTACCACACTGAAAGTATCAGTGTTTACAAACAAACAAGTTTTTTTTATTTCGTGCAGTTTTGTGCGGTCGCCACGCGGTTGGCGTGCGTACCACGTTAGTCTCATTTTTGTCGTCAGGTGATCTGGACGCACATTTTCTTTACAATATTTTGAGTTCCTTAATTTTTTGTCGCGTTATTACGTACTGTTTCTACATGCTTCTTCTGCGTTCGTTAAGCGCGGAATGTACATACGCAGAGGTAAAGCGTTGGCCGTCAGATACTCTTTTTGTATCATGCGCATATTTCATATTTATTTCGTATTTTATTTGGATATGTCAATCGCGCAAAACTTTATTTTGTATCAAGGTATGTTCTCGCATTTCTTCAGCCATATGCAAATCAAATACATTATTTAACCTCACAAATAATTTTTGTCACTGTTTCAATACCTACCGTTGATTTGCAATTCATATTCGACACATTTCGTTTTTGTTTAATGTACAAATTAAAATGATTAAAATTGTCGTCTACCGTCGCGTTCTTAATTCTTTGGCGGCTCTTTCCGGCAAAACCCACTACCCACCACTATTAGATACAATTTTTAATTCTGAAAATAAGAAAGGGAAATCTTTCGCCTTTTTTATGATGAAATCTTCTTTTCAGCTAGTGCAGCTTTTGAAATAATTGGAATTATTAAATTCTGTTTTAGGATTTTGAAAGTTTATTTAATTCTTAATTGATTATTTAAGTAATTATTTAATTTTTCTATCATTGACGGTTTAGGCTCTATGTGCAATTTTAATTTAAATAAAAAATTGATTTTACTTGCCCAAATGGCTTTAATCTACAATTGTGTTACATGTTTCCGATTTAGAATTTAATATACTTTCAAAAACCAGAAACAGGATTCAAAAATTCGAATTATAACAGAATCTGTATTTGT